TTTTTTTTCATGTTATTGAGTGATTTAATAATAGGTATCACTGGAAGACACCAAGAGGGCCATTCAAGGACATTCTCATTAGTAGTTATTAACTTATTAAATGAAATGGAGTCTCACCACAGGAGCCCAGTACTCATTAGTGGCCTGGGCTGCACATACCAATCACCCTGCCTTTTCAGGCCAAAGAGCACCTCAATTATAACTCCTAATTGCCCAGGTGATCTTCCAAACTCCCAGCTTTATTTCTTTGAATCTAACTATATAAATAAGGCAAGCCCACTTTTTAGTGGTGGTGTAAGAAAATAAATTGAGAGAAAGATAGGCAAAATATAAAATGGAGTCCTGGCCTTTATTTTTAACCACTTGTTCTTTGAAAACAAAAAAGAAAACAGATTTATCTGTGATACTGGCTTCATATTCACAATCATTAGGTGCGATGGCACATGCCTGTCATCCCAGTGGGAGGCTGGGGCAGAAGGATCACAAGTTCAAAGCCAGTCTGGGCAACTTAGTGAGTCCCTGCCTCAAAATGAACAACAAAAAGGGCTGGGTCAGCACCACATAAAAATAAAATAAAGATATTGTGTCCACCCATAACTAAAAGAGTAATATTTTTTGAAATTTCTTAAAAAGGACTTAAAAACAGCATACTACAGGGACACAGCCACATCAATGTTTATAGCAGCACAATTCACAATAGCTAAACTGTGGAACCTACCTAGATGCCCTTCAGTAGATGAAATGGATAAAGAAACTGTGGTTCATATACACAATGGAATATTACTCAGCAATAGAAGAGAATAAAATCATGGCATTTGCAGGTAAATGGATGGAGTTGGAGAATATTATGCTAAGTGAAGTTAGCCAATCCCCCAAACCAAATGATGAATGTTTTCTCTGATATAAGGAGGCTGACTCATAGTGGGATAGGGAGGGAGAGCATGAGAGGAATAGATGAACTCTAGATGGGGCAGAGGGGTGGGAGGGGGAGGGAGGGGGCATGGGGTAATTAAAGATGGTTGAATGTGATGATCATCATTATCCAAAGAACATGTATGAAGACACAAATTGGTGTCAACATACTTTATATACAACTAGAGATATGAAAAATTATGCTGTATATGTGTAATAAGAATTGTAATGCATTCCACTGTCATATATAAAAAATTAAAAAATAAATTTTTTTAAATAAAAGGGGCTGGGTCATGGCTCAGTGGTAGAGTGCTCATCTAGCATGTGTGAGGCACTGGGTTTGATCCTCAGCACCGCATAAAAATAAAATAAATATATTATGTCCACCTATAACTAAAAAATAATTTAAAAAAAAGAGACTGGGGATGTGGCTCAGTGGTTAAGTGCCCCTGGGTTCAATCCCCAGTCTTGGGGGAAAAAAAAGAACTCACAATTGTAACCCATAAAGATAGATTTTGGTTTTGTGATCTGGTACACACACACACACACACACAACTGAAGAAAAGTTTAATGAAGGGCTGGAGTTGTGGCTCAGTGGTAGAGCACTTGCCTAGCATGGGTGAGGCCCTGGGTTCAATCCTCAGCACCACATAAAAATAAATAAAATAAAGATCCATCAACAAGTAAAATACAAATATATTTTTAAAAGCCTAATGAAATAATATTTTTCTTACTATCTGTAAGGCATGCTGAAATTTCCCTATTTTGTTACTTTGTTGGTGGTGGCGGCGACCCGGACCTCATAAATACCAGCAGCCCTCAGACATGACATAATGTAGAGCCAGAGGGAGCTCCTGCTAGGCCCCTGGGGACCACAAAGGAAAGGCCTCCACAGGACTCCCTGTGAGTCGGTGTTGGTGGGACTCAGTTCAGCTGTGAAGAAAAACCGATTTCTCCTCTCAGGATCCCAGTTGTCAAAGCCAGCAAAACTTGAAATTTGCACATGTTTATATAAGGTGCCTCTAAATTTCCTGTTCCTGGAACACAAACAGAAGGAATAAAAGTAACATTCATTCAGGAACTCAAGTTGGCCAGGGGTGACTGGGCTTTACTCTAGCTTGTACCCCAGGCAATAGGAAGGGAGACACCATACTGCTCTTTAAGACCAGGGGCTACTTGTATGTTGTATGTTGGGGAGAGGAGAAACAAAAGGAAAACTCCTTCGCTAATCAGCCCAGCCCCTGTGAGTGTGTGTGTGTGTGTGTGTGTGTGTGTGTGTGTGTGTGTGTAGAGAGAGAGAGAGAGAGAGAGCAAGGAGCAGTGATCTGGTGGTTACTGCTGTTTAAAACACAGATATAGAAGCAGGGTATGGCAGCGCAAGCCTGTAACCCCAGCCATTTGGGAGGCTAAGGCAGGAGGATTGCAAGTTTGAGGCCAGCCTCAGCAACTTAGTGAGGCCCTAAGCAATTTATGGAGACCCTGTCTCTAAATAAAATATAAAAAGGGCTGGGGATGGGGCTCAGTGGTTGAGTGCCCCTGAGCTCAATCTCCTGTATCTCATCCAAAGAAAGGTAGTTTGCTGCCATCTTTATCAGACTTCCAGACATTGGGGCTTTGGGGAGAGAAATGTTACTTTAGTCTCTACAACTTTATGGTTTGTCCTTTGGAGCAGTGAGCAGCAGGTTTTAAGCCAGATGCAGCCAAGATGAGGAAAAGACTGGAAGGCAGGCAGGAAGCAGGTGAACTGAGGATGTGAACTTCCCTGTCCTCTTTAGCTCCAGTGACCCACAGGCTAGGACTATGTGTGACATCCCGTGGCAAGAGCTGCAGAAGACAAGGCCATTTTCCACAGAGTGAAGTTTCCTTCGTGGGGCTTCAAAGATGGGCCTGAGGGGGTGGGGGGCAAGACAAAAAATCTTCACTGGGAATTTTGTTTCAGAAACACCGTGAGGCCAGGCCTTGACATTCCCAGGGCATTTGGGTGGAAAACTAAAAGCCAACCCTGTGACAGGGGCCTATAAGGGAGTTGGGGCCTGGGAGTGCTGCCAGTAGCCACGTCCAGCGGCAATTGGATGACCTACTTACTTCTCTTCCATTAGAACCAACCCCTCGGAAAGCCTCATTCATTTCCCAGCCTGCTGTTCTCTTCTGCGTGGTGGGGGATTCAGAGGGAGGCCCTAAATCCATGATCAAAAAAGGAGACTAGGGTCTCCTCCTTTGAAGAAGGTATGATGGTGGCGAAGGCGATCAACAGCCAAGGACAGCTGTGCCCAGCGGACAGTGTCCTCTATACAGCAGCATGTAGTGACCTGACAAAGGGGTGAGGGCCACTGACCATCTTTGTGAATCCACCACAGAGGAAGGAACCTCTTAGAAACAGCCAACAGGCCTTCTGAGAGGGAATACTTTGAGGAATATTTTCCAAAGATCAAGCTCCCAGGGACTTAAATATTGGAAGTTGAGGATTTGTATATGGAAAACATTTTGAAACTGTGAACACTTTGTCTCTCCATTTGCTCTCTCCTTTCTTGAAAGAACCAACACAAGGAGGCCCTAGTATTCCTGTTGTTTGCAGCAAATCTTGTATTCAGAAGTCTTGTTGGGGACCAACGGGTTACTCACCAGGTCCCCCCCTCAAGTCTTTATAGTTTTGAAAAATTCTGAGATATGCCATTTTGATTCTGCCAGGTGAGCCACACTAGCTTGGAGTCACTAGTGCTTTCCAGCATTACTAGCGTTCATAAATAGCTCCAGTTCTCTCCTTCTGGGCAAGTGGGAGATCATACTTCCCTATCCCCCACAAAGTTAAATGTGGCCATGTGACTTCTTGGGCCAATAAAATGTGAATAGCAACATGTGTCACATCTGGGTGGAAGCATTTAAGAGTGAGGCATGATACTGGAAATGGTAATGGACGCCCATGATACCAGCAGCTCAGGAGGCTGAGGCAGGAGGATCACAAGTTCAAGGCCAGCCTCAGCAATTTAGTGAGGCCCTAAACAACTTAGCAAGACCTGTTTCAACATTTAAAACAAGAAAAAAAAACATTTTGAAAAAGGGAGAGGGGGTCACTCAGTGGTTAAGTTCCCCTGGATTCAATCCCTGGTACCAAAAAATAAAGGGGATGCTGGGGAGGTAGCTCAGTGGGTCCGATCTACAATACCACAGAAAATAAAATTAAAGAAGCAGAGCCCCTCTAATAAGCCAGCCTTTGTCATGTAGCATAAGCAAGAAATAAACTTAAAGCAAGCCAGTGAAGGTTGGGGTTTGTTTGTTACCACAGCTTAATGCAGCCTGCCCTGACCAGTCCTCATAGCTTTGCTTAGCAAAATCCATGGTACCTACCATTTGCCAAGGTACTAACTGGTCAGCAGTGGGGGAGAGACTAAATGAACTCAAAATGAGAACTCTTCCCCCCTTGATCTCTCCTGAGAACCCATAATGGCTACAAATTCACTGGGAATTCATTCCAGGCATCTCTGGATCTATTTGGCAGTTAAGTAGCTCCCACGTTCCCAGAATTCTACTGGGCTGGGCAACTCTATAAAACTCTCTCAGGAGGCTATTTTAGCATTGATATTTGTTCAGAAACATTCAGCCAAGCAAATGTTCATTAAAAAGCTGGCCATCTAACCACCCAGGCAGAAGTAGAGCAGTACTTTGAGGCTGACTCTCATGAACCTGCTCCAAATGAAAAGAAGAACATTCCTCTCAAGGCGCTATCTGGTTCCTCAGTAACCCAGACTGCTTGTCTGCTGTGGACATCCATGGTTACCCAAATGCAAAGATCTGGTCTCCTGGATTCTCATGGTCTTCACTCACGTTTCCATGGCCACCACACAAGGTTTGAGCAAACAACATTTCTGACCTCATTGGGTTATCACATTGGAAAAGTAAGGCACTTAGAGAACCAGTTCACTTTGAAACATTAAAATCAATCGACGGGTTTGGAGTTGTGAGGTTTGCAACCAAATGAAAACAAGCCATGATTTAAGAAGCTCATTTTCCACCCATAAGAAAAGGAATAACTACTTAAAAATCATTTGACAAGTACCGACATTACAATATCAAGTATATTTTATTTTTATTTTATTTTGGGGGATGCTGGAAACCAAACTCAGGGCCTCGAGAGTGTGAGGCACTCAAACTATTAGTAACAAGGAAAAGTAACATAGAAAGAGAAAGAAAGGATGAAAACATGGTAAAAAGTTAACACTGAGTTAAAACTTGAGTAAATGGTCAAAGTGTTCATCCTATTTTTGCAACTTTTTTATAGGCATGAAAATTTTCAAAATAAAAAAAAAATCATGCATGATCTATATCAGTAGCTTTCAATTGTTTTTAACCACAACCCCACAAGAAACTACAAATTGTACACAGCAACCCAGGACACACATATATACACATACAATGGATCACATGCATATGAATTAAAAGTTTCACAAAACAATGCTTACTTTTATATTACATGAGATGCTCTGTGGCTCTTCTATCTTATCATGTTGTTCATGAAGTTGCTTTTTTGCAGTGTGGGGGATGCACCCAGGACCCCGAGCAAGCTAGCACATACACTAGCACCAAGTCACATCCCCCTAGCCCCTATATATATATATATAAATTTTTTTCAATGTTGATCATGACCCATTCTATGGTCAAAACCCATTTGAACCCTCCTGCAACCGTTCTAATTCTTAGTATTACTAAGACTAAAAATTAGAAACCTAACAGATGGGTACACCCTGAATCCATGTCGGTTTTGAAAATCCACCTCTCCAAATACAAAGACAAGAACTCAGTATTAAGATTGCAGATTCCACACCATTGACAAAAGCCGTTATCACTGCACGCAGTGTAAAGAATAGCTTGAGCAAGTATTTAGCAGACCTATGGCACTTTCGTTTGTTGACTTGGCTGCTTCATGGTCTGACAAACACACACGCATGTTGTGACCAGCAGAGGGTGGTTCTGCTGCCAACTATAGAGATGGTATAGGAAGATAGCAGAGCCGGCATTTGGATTTTTATTCTTATATTTTTGGCAGTGCTGGGGATGGAACCCGGGCCTCCTGCATGCACACTAGGCAAGCACTCTACCACTGAGCCACATCCACAGCCTAGAGCCAGCCCCAGGAGGAAGCCTGCAAAGCCACCCTGGTGGCCGGGGGTCCCCAAAGCTGCTGATCCTGCAGCTCACAAAAGAGTCCACCTCTGCTCATTTCCACTGAGCCCTGAAAGGGGCTGGCTTGTTGGGGTGCCTAGGTGGGATCTGACAGCCCGGTCCTCACACACTCCACAGAGGCCCTGAGTGCTGGCCGCTGGGGGGGGGGGGTGGGCCTTTGCCCAGGTGGTCCAGCCTGGGGGCAGGAGGGGGCCGATTCCCACACTGAGAAATATCTAGTGTCCCTGGCCACCTGGGGCTGCTTCCCTCCTCCTTAGCCACCAGCCCCAAAGGGCTCAGCTCATAACAAACGTCCACACCCGCGGAATCCTCCAAGCTGGAGACCCCCTGCCCTGCTAACAGCATCTCCTGGTCTTCCCACAATTTCTTAAGAAAAGAGGATTTGTGGCCTCCAGGGAGACTCACAATACGTATTAACATATGAAAGACTCTGAAAAGTTCTATAGAAAAGAAACTGGCTGAACTCTTTTTGTTTTTTTAATTTTAGGATTTTACAAGTTTGTCCACCAAGACACCCCCGCCCCCCCCCAAAGTCCCTCTGGGACTAAAGACACCCCTGGGCATCATTGTGGAGTAAATGAAACTCGTCATTGTGTTAAACACCTCCTAGCATCTCAGAACCCAGGAACCACCCTAACCACCCTTTAGGGTCTAAGTCTTTCCCTCATCTTCCCTTCTTTAAATCCCATGCACCTTCAAGAATCCTAGTGTCCCCAGGCTCCTGGGGGAGGGGGCAGAGGATTGTCGTAGAAAACAAAGGGATTGGGTTTAATGGGTTACCCTGCAGGAGAATTGGCACAGTTCTTAGTATTCAGCCTGTGGAGTGACCCTCTTAATTCAGGCACTGTAGGTACTGTTGCCTGGAAGATGGAGGGAACGGGGAAGGGGGAACGCCCTAGGAGCTTCCAATTCCTAGACTTTGCACTAAGGGGCTATATTCGTTCTTTTTCTCTTTTCCTCTGGATGCCCGTAGGAGAAGAGCAGAAATCCACAATAGTCAAGCTTCTCCCCTCCCTGTGGCATTGCCCAGGGTTCTTTCTCCTTTGCCTAGTGCCATCCTTGGTGGCAAACTCTTCCTTCCACCCTCCCCTAGAATTCTCATCATGGTCCCCATCCCATTCCCTGTCCCCTAAACCCAGCTAACCAAACCCTCCCTTGGCCAAAGCAGTTTGGGCCACCCCAGTGTGGCAGGGTCAGTCCCTCTGCAGGCCAAACACCACGTAGTGAGCCACACTGAGCAGGGGACGGGAGATGAAGAGCAATACGGTCCTGTGGCCGGGGCCGGCCACCCCACAGGAGGGAAGGCTATCGAACAGCGAGGCGTTGGCCAGCCCTCCAGTGACGTTGGCTGTCTCCTCCACTGGGACCCTTGGGGCGAGCAACTTGGAGAGGAGACTGCTAAACCTGCTCACGGTGGTGGCCACTGGTCCTGGGGACGAGCCTGGACTAGACGTGGTGAGGTTCAGCTCCTCTGGGTCCACGCACAGGCCGTCGGGGGAGCGCTCGAAGGCCACCTGGCTGAGATCCAGGCCAGCCACGGAGCCCGGGGAGGCGCACGGCACATCGGCCACGCGCCCAGAGCCCTCTATCCAGTCCCGCAGCCACTCCAGGTGGCAGTCGCAGCGCCACGGGTTGCGGAAGAGGAAGAGGCGTCCCAAGAAGAAGCCGGGCTGGAAGGCGGCCCAGGAGAGCACAGCGAGGCGGTTGCTGTTGAGGTGCAGGGCCAGCAGGCCCGAGAGGTTCTGGAAGGCGCCCTCCTCCACGAAGGCGATGCTGTTCCGGTCCAGGTAGAGCAGCTCGAGCTCCGCCAGGTCGGCGAACCAGGCGCGCGCCACCACGCCCAGCGCGTTGCCGCCCAGGTTGAGCGTGCGCAGGCGGCGCAGGCCGCGGAAGGCGTCGGCCGGCAGCTCGGCCAGCAGGTTGTCGTTGAGCAGCAGGTGCTCCAGGGCGCCGCAGTCGCCGAAGGCACCGGCGTGCACGACGCGGACGCGGTTGGCCTGCAGACTGAGCGAGCGCAGGCGCCGCAGGCCCAGCAGCGAGCTGGAGGCCACGGCCTCGATGCGGCCGCGCTCCAAGTGCGCATGCGTCAGGTTGGCCAGGCCGCGGAGCGCGCCCGGCACGCGGCGGAACAGGTTGTCGAAGGCGGCGAGCTCGCGCAGGGCCGGCAGCTCGGCCAGGAGGCGCTCGGGCACACTGAACAGGCGACACGCGGCCAGGTCAAGGCGGCGCAGGCGGCCCAAAGCGACGAAGGTGCGCGCGTGCAGGTAGCGCAGCTCGCCGTTGTGCGCCAGGCGCAGCTCCGCCAAGCGCGGCAGACCCTTGAAGGCGCCCGGCGTGATAAAGGACAGGTTGTTGTGGCGCAAAGACAGGCGGCGCAGGGACGGAAGCGTGCCAAAGGCCCGCTCCCCTAGGATGCGCAGGCCGTTTCTGTCCAGATCGATGGAGGTGGCCTCGCACGGGAACTCGGCCGGCACCCGCAGGAGGCCTGCGCGGTCGCAGCGCACGGAGCAGCTGCGCTCGGCGGTGCTGCAGGTGCAGGCAGCCGGGCAGGCACGCAGGCAGGCCTCGGTGGCCCGGGTGCTGGGCAGGCCGAGGAGCACCACTGTCGAGGGGACATAGGACACAGGAAGAAGAAGAGACAAAAAAAGGAGCGGTAGTCAGCCAGAAGTCACCCCAGGGAGCAGGACACAAGCCCTCCCCCAAGTTCTCCTGCATCCTGCAAATGGCCCCTTCCCACTTCCCAGGCCTCGGGCAGGTTTCCCCGCCTACAATGCCGAGGCCGTCTTCTTCGCTTTCCGGTTATCTTAATCGGCAAAACCCATGCTGTACTCCCTGCATGGGACTCCATTCTAAACGACCTCCTGCCTGTGTCGCGTCTTTGAGGGCGTCTCCGGGGCCTGCTGTAGGCTTGTGCTGCCTGATACAGTAGCCACACCACACACGGGCTACCGAGCATTCGAAATGTGGCCAGTCTTAATTGCCAGGTGCATCAGATCTCAAAGACGCATTACCAAAAAGAGTCAACTGTCACAATAATTTTGTGTTGATTATATGTTGAAATATTTTAGGCATGTTGTATTAAATAAAATGTTAAAATCAATATCCACGGTTTCTACCTTTTTAAGTGTGGCTACTTAGAAATGTATACATAGGAAGCTGGGCACAGTGGCGCAGGTTTGTAATCCCAGCAACCTGGAAGGCTGAGGCAGGAGGATCACAAGTTCAAGGTCAGCCAGTGAGGCCCTAAGCAACTTAGCAAGACCCTGTCTCAAAATAAAATATAAAAAGGACTGGGGATGTAGTTTAGAGGTAGAGTGCCTCTGGGTTCAATCCCAAGGAAGGAAGGAAAGAAAAGAAATTAATTTATACATTTGTGACTTGTGTTTTATTTCTCTTAGTGCTATTGACCCCTCTCCTAAGAATTCAGTTCTGGAAAAATGCCACTGAATAAATTAAGCCTTATTGGCATCAGATTCATCATTTTAAGTTGGGAACCATTTTATCTAGAGGTTCCAAAGTTTCCATTCTGAGGCAAAGCTGCTTAACTTCCTGAAGGAACAAATGCCTGCTATCAACCCCACCCCAGCTTAAACTCCTGCACAGTTTATGAGGTTCCCCTTGCGGGCCATAAAGCTGCTTTGTGAGTGTCACAGGCTGCTGCTCTCCTTGGAGGGACAGCCTTGTGGGTATGCCTCCTGTTACCCAACAATAAATCTCTTGTGTGACGTTTGGGTCTGTGGTATGGTCCTTGGACTCTGCCTGGACTCTGCAAGTGTCCTTTAAAGCCTCATGGAGAAGAAAGAATTAGAGAGCAGGGGAGTTGGGAATTTTCTAGATAAGTCTATCCAAATGTTTCCTTTTTCTTTTTCCCCCCTGCACTGGGGATTGAACCCAGGGGCACTCCATCACTGAGCTACATCCCCAGTCCTTTTCTTCTTTCATTCATTCTTTCTTTTTTTTTTTTTACTTTTGAGATGGGTCTCACTAAGTTGCCCAGGCTGAGGAACTTGGGATCCTCCTGCCTCGGCCTCCCAAATTGGGTCACTGCGATTACAGGTGTGCCCCACCCACCTGGCCTCTTTTTCTTTAATGGTCTCGAAGATTAAACCATAAGGACAATATGCAAATGACCTCACACATCCCCAAAGAATTAATTATAGGCACTATGCAGTCAAGTTCCATTCATCATCCATGGTTCTGTAGAAACTTTTTTAGGTCATCCTGGGAAAGAAATGTGCTTATAAATTGTCTTCTGAGCATTTGAGTAGAGAATCAGATAAAGACTTCAAAAGCCCCACCCCCCCACCCCATAGGCTTCCCACTGGCAGCAAACTAAATGACATGGTCTCCTGCCCCATGGAAGCCAGAGGTCCCAAGCCCAATCTTAAGGACCAGTGGAAAAGACAGCATTGACACATGCACAAGTTTTATTCTCTGGCCAGGATCAGCTTTCAGGTAGAGTGTGCTCAATCCACAGTTCCTGCAGGGAAGAAAAGGTATCCACAACTACCCACTGATTGATGATTTCTGCTCCTCCTCTGCAGTACTCCCAAATTCCTAGCAAGCACCCCTAGCCTGCTGTTCAGGCTCTTTCACTGTGTACACAGCCCCCTGCCTTGTCTACCCAAACCGCTGGGGGATCCTGAAGGCCTGCTCAACACAACTGTACAGAATGCACTTGCTGCTGCCTCTGTAGATTTGCTCAGCTTCTGGGGTCTTTTCAGTCCATCCGTCTCAGACACGCCAGGCTTTCTCAACTGCTGGGAAGGGGATCAACCCTTTCAGACTTGGCTGAAGAACACTCCAACCTTTGAGTGTTCAGTTGAAAACTGTAGCTGTTTCAACATTCTGATCCTGAGAAAGCTTGACTTGGCTTTTCCTTCTCCCTTCAAAGCTGAGATTGACAGACAGCTTCCAGCAAAGTTCTTGGACCCTATGCCAAGCTCGGCTGCAAACAGGACCTCTGCTGGGTTGGGAGACACTGTGTTAGGGAGACAGGGCCAAGAATATAACCTTTAGTCCAGCCCTGAGCTGGACAGAGGCAGGACCTTTTCCTACCAACTCTTCCAACTGGGTCAAGTTGAAGGCATTCGATTTCATTACAAATTGTCCTTTATTCTAGTCCCTTCTTTCTAATTAAGAGAACTATGCTCTCAATCATATGACTCATGTTTATACCCCACGATAGCTAAAATTGTTCCAGGCACACAGTACAGCTCAATAAATGTTTGCAGAATTAAATCGAATTGATGCCTTCCTCCGTGAGCTTCCTGCTGGAGGATGTCATTTATTTTACAAACTCTTTGTCAAGAACTCACAGGATTAGAAGAAGCAGGATACAACCAATTTGTATAATATAAGAGATCAAAAAGGTAGCTGCCAACTGGGAGTGGTGGTGCACTTATTCCTGTTATCCCAGTGACTTGGGAGGCTGAGGCAGGAGGATCGTGAGTTCCAGGCCAGCCTCAACAACTTAGCAAGACCCTCAGCAACCTAGCGAGACCCTGTCTCAAAATCTCAAAATAAAAAAATGAAACAGACTGGAGATGTGGCTCACTGGTAAAGCATCCTTGGGTTCAATCCCCACTATCAAAAAAAAAAAAAAAAAAACAGAAGAAGTAACTGCTAATGTTTTAAAACTGTGAGAGGTGAGAGTGAAGTTTTCACTGTATATCCTTTTCACTTAAAATTTTAAACCCTGTGTATATATAACCGATTTCAGAAAATAGATTAAAATGTATTTTAAGTTTTACTAAACATTCAAGACAACCAGGAATAGTGGCACACGCCTGTAATTATAGCTACTTCAGAGGCTGGGGGAGGAGGATCGGAAGTCTTAAAGCCAGCCTGGGCAATTTAGTGAGACCTTTTCTCAAAAACTAAATAAATCATAAGATGAAAATAAAAAATGTCAAGACATTGTCACTATGGGAGACCTATTTTCAGTCTCTGAAACTTTGATAGCCATTAGGAATGATAACTAATTTACCAGATTATTGAGTGAAATTTAGATTAAGTCAAGTAAATTGGCAGAACAGATAACTTCAGTATTGGTTCATCCAATATGAAGACTAAGTATATGCTTTTAAGCCAGAAAAATAGGGCATCAAAATAAAGTTCTTTCTAAATAATAACATATTTGAGTGAGTTCTCCTTGCAATGAAAGAGTAGCTTGTTTATCAGATTAATATTCCTGCTGATAATTCCAGTATACCCATAGTTATTACTACAGGGAACTAGAAAGAAGGGTCTATGAAGATTTGCTATCAGGGCTGCACATTAGGATCACATGGGGAGCTTTTCAAATATACCACCAAGGGTAATTACATGAGGATCTTCAGGGTTGGGATCAGGCATTAGTATCTTGAAAGCTGCACAGGTGGCTGGGTGAGGTGGTGCATGCCTGTACTGTTATTCCAGCAAGTTGGGAGGCTGAGATAGGAGGATCACAAGTTCAAGGCCAGTCTCAGCAACTTAGCAAGGTCTTAAGTTTGCCTAATGTGTGAGGCCCTGGGTTCGATCTTCAGCTCCACATGAAAAAATAAATAAAGGTCCATTGACAACTAAAAAAATCTTTTAAAAAAGCTCAGTAAGCCCATGTAACATAAAACTACCACATACACACATACACACACACACACACACACACACACACACTCCTCTGCCTAGAGACATAGTCAAACTGTTAAAAGCCAAAGATAGACAATTCTGAAAAGCATTCAGAGCTAGGGATATAGCTCAGTTGGTAGAGTGCTTGCCTCACATGCACAAGGCCCTGGGTTCAATTCCCACCACCACAAAAAAGAAAAGAAAAACAAGCATCCAAAGAAGAAAGACATGACATAAAGAGAAAAAGAGAAATAATAAATAGATGAATAAAATGTATATACATATATATCACTATTATGGTCTGAACATTTGTCCCCTTCTCCTGATTCATATGTTGAAATTCTAAACCCCAAGGTGATAGTATTAGAAGGAGCATAATTTGAAAGGTTATCAGGTCATAGGAGCAGAGCCCTCGTGAAGGGGATTAGTGCCCTTTTAAAAGGTACCCCAGAGGACTGGGGACCCAGCTCAGTGGGTGAGCACTTGTCTAGCATATACAAGGCCCTGGGTTCCATCCTTCAATCATGTAAGGACACAGAGAGAAAGTGCCATCTATTAGGAATGGACCCTTGCCAGACACCACATCTGATGGTGGCTTGATTTTGAACTCTCTAGCCTCCAAATCTATGAGAAATACAGTGCTGTTGTTTAGAAGCCACCCAGACTATGGTATTTTTGTTATAGCAGCCTAAATAAAATAATACTGACTTCTTCTCCTCAGTAACGATGAAGGCCATAAGATAGTAGAATGGAAATCTTCAAGTGCTGAAAGAAAAGCAAAATCTGGCAACCCAATTCTATATATAGTAAAAGCATCTTCTAAATGAAGAAAAATAGAGATATTTTCAGATAAACAAAATCAGAGAAAATTCATCTCCAGCAGAGTTTTTGCACAAGAAATGATAACTTTCTCCAGCCTGAAGAAAAATGCTACTAGATGAAAATAAGATGGAAAGGAGCAAATGAAGAGCAATGGAAATGGTATAAATATGT